CGTGGTGCATTGCCGAGATTGGTACCACCTGGACCTCCACCAGGAAGGCCTATGGGAATGCCACCAGGTCCACCTCCTGGATTACCTCCAAATATGAGGCTTCCAATGCGTATGCAAACACCAATGGGTAATAGCTTTAAGAAATTCATATTTCTTGTACTTGGTTGTTGTTTTCTAAAAAGCATACATTGAAAAAGTTCAAAGTAATATAGTTAAATCATTACAGAAATGTGTTCAAAAAGATTTTATTAACATTCAATACTTTTATAAGGCATTGTCAATTTTTTAATTTATAATTAAAGACAAACCAAAATTTATTTTAGGAGTTCCACCACCACGTTTGTTGAGACCTCCTGGCATTCTGCCTCCATCAATACCACCTCCAATAGGTGCACTGCCATCAAGTACACCCATCAATCCCAACATATTAAGTGCACTGCCAAACATCATGAGACCCAGAGGAGAAGAAGCCAGTGCAGGCAGCGGTGGTCAGTCCAGGGTGACAATCCAGGCTAAGCCTCAGATAAAGAATAAAATGGGAGATGTCACAAGGTTTATGCCCACAGCCCTCAAGGTTAAGAGAGAAATCCGTGACCAGAAAGGAAGAATTAAAGCTGTTGGTAGGTTGTCTCTTATGTTCTTTTGGGTTGCTTATAGTCAGATGCTGTTTTTTGTTGTTTTTTTTCATTCCAATTTGATGTTTTTGCTCCATCAGATTCAACATTTTATTAAACTAAATTGATCATTTAGCTTTCATCAGCCTGACTCTGATCCTACCATGCACACATTTTTAAAGTATTATCATTATTGTGCACATTTTGGCAACATTTATATCAGGATTTCAATGTAAGTTGTGCCAAGGCCTAAAAAGGTTTACAGTAATTAGATAGATTTAAGTTTGGGTGTGGAGACTAGTAGTAGAGTTGAAATAAATTAATTGAAAGCTGTGATCAAACATATAATTTAAAAAAAAAAAAAGAAGAATGTTAGATCCAAAGATTAGTTTACAGAACTTGTTAGAAACTACTGGCCCGCTGATCATTACATTATACAGAAAATGTTTTATCAGTTAACTGGACATGCATAAACAATTGTTTTTTTTTCTGTCTTTTTAGCCGCCTCCGAAAGGGGAAAGACGCTATTAGTTTTGTGTGAAATATCTGTCCATCCGTCCCGTTCAGATCTCGTAAACTATAAAAGACATTGAAAATCCGACATCACAATATTTTAGACCATTCAAAGTTCTAATGCAACGGCTACTTTTTATTTTTCTGAAAGCGAAAAATCTAATTTTTAAAATCAGTATTTTAAAGAGAAAAAGCTAATTAGTATGCATTATAAGTTAGACCTAGATTAAAACGAATAGTAATCTTGTAAATTTCATTTTCGTAAACATTTTTATATATTGCAAAAATGTTTTTTTTTTTTTTTTTTTTTTTTTTTTGAGCATTCGAATAAGAGATTGAGCCTTTTCCCAACAATTACATCAATTATTAGACCAATTATAAGTTAGGCCAGGAGAAGAGCGGTAGCTGAGCGGTAAAGCGCTTGGCTTCCGAACCAGTGGCCCCAGGTTCGAATCCTGGTGAAGACTGGGATTTTCAACTTCGGAATCCTTAGGCACCCCTGAGTCCACCCAGCTCCAATGGGTACCTGATATTAGTTGGGGAAAAGTAAAGGCGGCTGGTCGTTGTGCTGGCTACATGAACCCTCCTTAACCGTAGACCACAAAAACAGATGAACTTTACATCATCTGCCCTATAGACCACAAGGTCTGAAAGGACAACTAGTTAGGCCAGGTTCACATCTAACTTTGCATTCACTTGCACCTATCCTTTGATCTGCTGTACCGTTGGGGCACTACACAAGATCTGTCAACCTTCTTTCTCCATTCTTATCTCTTATTTGTCTTTGATATAATTTCATTCGGATGTTCTTTCTGAAAATATTGAAGCCTGCCTGGGTGGACCACTTCGGGGGCCGATTTTGAGTTTGTGTTTCCACACAAACTGTCTTTGTAATCTTGTTTTTTTATACATTTTCTGTATTTTGAAAGTCCATTCAACTTAAATGTATTGTTATAAATTTTAGTAACTAACTCTTTCACCTTTATGGTTTTGTGTATTATAATACTCCCACAATAAAAACTTGTATAGTATCATGTTATGTTGGTTTCTTCAAAATCATTTCAAACCATTTGAGCATTTATAACAAATAGTTGAGTCACTTTTTATTAATGGTAAATGTGGCCCATTTAATACTTCAAGTATCGGCAAAGTTTTTAGCAATAAGCAAACTAAAAAGAAATATTGACTCAATCATAATTATTTTGTTGTTTCCTATCTTTGAAGAGTTAAAATTTAATTTTTTTTACAAATGACTTTAAAAAAAGTGCAAGATATTTTTTTAAAAACGTTATTCAGATATTTCCTAAAGAACTGAAAAAGCTCAATTTGAGCATTAATTTATATTTGGAAATCTCAAATAAGATCAATTTAAGCAGTAAATAATTCCCCCCCCCCTCCCCCCCTCCAAAAAAAAAAGAATGGAAAACACGAGCTTGGAGAAAAAAAAATATGTATTCATAATCATCTTCACCTTTCAGTTAGTCTGAACTGTTGGGGCACCACACAAAATCTTTTGACCATCTTTCTCCATTCCTCTCTTGTCTTTCAATGACAGGCCTGTCCATTCTTTTACTTTGTCTTCCCATTGCTTTCTCTATCTGCCTTTTCTTTTTCCTGGTAATGTTCTCTGAAGGAAGGTCTTTATGAGCCAAAGGACCTTGTGTAGTGGCCATAGAGTTAAAGTTTGTGTTTTTTGACATTGGTTAGCAGGTCATTGTGGGGTCCAATTGCTGTATTAATGCTGTTTCTCATCTCTTCATTTGTGATTTGGTCTTGGTATGTGATACCTAGCATCTTTCTGTAGCATTTTAGTTCCATTGCTAGTCGCCTCCAAAGAATTTCAGAGAACAGAGGGGCAAAGGTTGTTCAGCAAAAACCAAATGGCAGGCGCCCCAAAGGCAGGCCATGAGCATGGCAGCTTGATGATATAGAGGCAGATTACAAGAGCTAAGAGTCTGGCTGGGCATGGAGACGTAAAGCCTAAGATAGATCAGAATGGGAAAATGTGCTAGAGCAGGCCAGGGTCCCTCCATGGGCTGTAGTGCCAAAGGGATGGATGGATGGCTAGTATCCTCTTCTCAGGATCTGCTTTTGTCTTTCCAAATTGTTTTGAGTTTTGAAAAATAGCTTTGATAAAAAATGAAATATTTAAGTAAAATAAGCTTGAAAAAAAATTGAATTGGCTTATATAATAGAAATTGTATATATTATAATTAAATTGACCTTGATAAAACCAGTGGATACAATTATAATTATAAATTGTCAGTTTCTATCATAATCACACAAATTCCTTTTAAAATATTACAATTTTTTTTTAGGTAAAGAAGAGGAACAGAGGGTGATAGGAGCTCAGGCCAGACCTCAACCTACCACACAGCCCAAGACTAAAGATGATGCTTATGATCAGTTCATGAAAGAAATGGAGGGACTGATTTAATTCTCCATTAGGATGTAGCATTTCTTATACAATTGATATAATAGTTGTTGGTGGTTTATTCATGGAGAAGCATTTACTTTTCTATAAGACATTCTTCTGCTACTAGCTCATCACTGGGAATGACTATTGCATGTGATCATGCAAAGTAAGTTTCAGATGTGGTGTATAGACCATTACATTGTCATTTCTTGACTGGTTTTTGTCATTTTTCTTTTAGTAATTAAGATGACTATTCTGTTTCCTACTGTCACTTTATAACCCCAAATGTCCTCATGTCTTCTCTTTGAGACAAAACTTCTTAGTGTTGTTCCTGTTATCACAGACTGCCAGTTTTTCTTAGATAGATAAGATAGATAGATATGTGTATGTGTCTTGGAGTTTTGCTTCTCTAAGATAGATAGATATGTGTATGTGTCTTGGAGTTTTGCTTCTCTATATGTTAATAACTTGGGGCACCAATGTCTGAATAATGAATGGTGATGTATGTGAAGTGATTTTTTTTTTTGTTTGTTTACCAGATGAGCACACACTTAAATGTGAATATTTGATAGTGAGACATTGTTAATTTCAGCTTTGTAAATAGTTACAATTTTTGATGAAGAATAAAATTATTGATTATCAAAATGGTTTTTTTTCTGTTTGTTTTAAACACAGCTGTCTTGTTGATAGGGTTTTTTTTAAACCAACATATTCATAATTATCATGGAAATATGTTCTTTGAGATCATGACTGCTGTTCAGTTGTTTAGCAGGATGTATCAAGTCTGTGTAATATAAATGTCCCTATCAAACATGTTCCCTAAAAGTCAAGGGTACAGTTTTTGTTTAACTTTATTTCTTTATCACATTGTCTGTAGCTGTTTTCATGAACAAGGAAAAAATAATCTTTTTTTTTTGTTTAGACTACAGATTCCAAAAGGTTTGAGCCACAGGCCTATATATATATATATATATATATATATATATATATATATATATATATATATATATATATATATATATATATATATATATAATGGTGTTTGGTTTGAGAACAAATTTTTAAACGCTATTGATAATCAAATATAGAAGAGTGAATGCCCTTGTTTTTTCCGTGCTAACTACCCTTTAGTGCTGTGGAAAGAATCCATTCCGTACTATTGAATTAATCTAATTATCAGTGGGATCCAAGACTTATCTTTAAAAAAAAAAGCTAATTACTAGAGACAACAAAAAAGAAATGTGGCTATAGTTCAGTTCTCCTTATTTAAAAAAATGATTTGTTTTATCACTTGTCTGTTCAAAAGAAATCTTCATTGTTAAGATCATCTTTTATCAGACTTAATTTCATCTGGCCAAAAAAAAAAAGGAATAGGCGGACAGATAGTTTGATTTCCATTCAGTAACAATATAGCAAAGAAAATACATGTATATATATATATATATATAAAAGATTTAATATCTCTTCATTCTATTCTCTTTTTATTGGTTCAAACAAATGACACAAGTCAACCAAAACAAAACACTCTTGTTAAAGATGGTACAGAATTGTTATTCGTAAACTTTATTTCAGTGTTACATCTCTACACTCAAACACACACACACTCTCACACATTTCTCACACAATGTATGGAGATAGGAATAGTGTAAATAGTAGAATATTTTTAGAAAATAGAACAAACTTCACTGGACGGAGTTAGGCATGCACTCGTCTGCTAAGCCTATACATAATACTGTTGTAAGATTTCTTTCCATACACAAGAATTGTGTTCATTTGTACAAGAAGAAAAACTTCAGTAGGCTAAATATAGTATTTCTGTACATCATGTTATTACCAGTCTATTTGTCATTGAAGCTGTGCTCCAATATTCTTTCTTTACAAAATAGAATCAACTGACCAAGTTGTTACAACTTTCATAATAGTATTCACAAATTGGTTCATTGGTACAAAACTAAAATATTTTTAGTCTTCTATATTGATTATAAATGAGTTGGCTTTATGTTTTTGTTTCAGAAAAAATACACATTAATAAATAAGAATCGGCATTAGCACACTTTTATGAACCACCATTTATAGAAAAAAAGAGTTGATCTTAACAGCCATGATGATATATCTCTTATAATAGTCATGATGATATATCTCTTATAATAGTCATGATGATATATCTCTTATAATAGTCATGATGATATATCTCTTATAATAGTCATGATGATATATCTCTTATAATAGTCATGATGGTATATCTCTTATTTAAACTAAACAATGAAAACAGTTTGAAACACTTGTAATGTATTCTTTTCAAAACTTCTTTTTAAAAATGATTTATTAGTTAATCGGTATTCACAATTTTAGAATCTATTAAATCTATAATATTTTTTTGTTTATAACATCTATTGAGAGACTAATGTATCATTGGGAACATGCAATGTCTACCAAATAATATGTGTAACAGATAGAAAGGTGATATTTAGATATAAATAGATAGATATCTAGAATCTAAAATCTATAGGAACATTTTTTTAAAATTAAAAATCTTTGAGCAGGGTGCGCATGTGCGTCATAGTCACTGATGTCAATCAATGAATTTGATTTCTTCGATTCAACCGACTTCTCGGTTTAGCACAAAGCACAAACAAAAAATAAGGAAGAAAAAAAAAAGAGCGGGAAAAAATGAGAGGGGATGGGGGCTGTACTAATGCTTGGCCCGATCAATACTAGTGTTCAATAATGCTGACCTTACATTAACTGACATAGACTAACGCAGACATAACATCAACAGCGTCTCAATTGGTCCACAACAGAGACATTCAGCAGTTTCGATCTGATCAAGCGCGAGCGTGCCTCGCTATGGCAGGGCTCGCGGCGTGATACTTTGCAGATTTGCGGCTTGCAAATGGAAAATAAAAGCCATAGTTAACAAAGGGAGGATAGGCCTATGCGGTTATTCGTCCGCCTGTCCCCACTTTAAATAAACGGCTACAGAAAAATGTCGACTCAACATTCCAGACACTGAAAGGTCACGAAGGAAGCATAAACCAAGCAGCTTGCACTATTTCCCAAAGTCATTTCAAGTTTTGTAGTTCTTCAATCCATCCCCCCCCCCCCACACCAGCAATGCAATAACATGATATTATGGACAGTAAAGGATATTAGCTTACAAAAAATTACTGTTTTAAAGTTGTTGTTATCCTTTTGAGATAGCTCCCGCCTGGTGCTGAATTTGAACGACTGCTTTTAATTCAATACTTATTCGTCTTGCACTTGGTAGCACACTTCTTACATTAACATGTTGTGTTGTTGTTTAAATTAGTTTCAAAAATAAAAATATTCACACATTAGTAACAATGAACCTCTACAATTTGAGTTAAAATCGATTTAACACGCAAAGGATGGATGGTTGCCTGGTCGTGTGGTATACGCTCTGGATTGTCTTTTGGAGGTCTTGACGGTCTGCCCGTTGACATCCCCCGTAGTCCTGCGGGAGGTTTTGGGCTAGGATGTAATCATCTTTAGAATCTGAAGGAGCATTCGAAACATGTAAAACAAACAAAGGCTTCTAAGGGCGAAATAGATAAAAAAAAAATTGTAAACAGTCACTGATTCTTGGAATGTAAATATGATGAGCCTTTAAAAACAACAATAAGTAGCTCTTGGGATATTTCGATATGTTGACAGTAGAAATCACATGAACATATTCAAACTACTAATCTAAGCTGGTAATTATGTTTCGTTTGAACAGCTTTTTGCTACATCAGAAGGCCCACAGATCATGAGTTGTTTTGATCTGTTCGTGAACTTCTATCTACTTGCTCCACAAACAGCCAACCAGCACACAAAGTGAGAAGGCGAGTGGGTAACACGGAACAAGGACAAAGAAAGTCGGATATAAACTAAATATAAATAGAGTGAAAACTATGTACATCGTGTACTAAACGTTTGTTAAACAAACAGAATAAGTTATGTACAGGCCTATAGAGATGCGCGGAATGTCATTGGAAAGCACACGTGGTTATAAATACATTTTTAGGTTTAAAAAAAATAAACATTGGTTTATAAAAAGAACTAAAACAAAATGACATTTGAAGAAAACTTAGACACCACCATCTCTGAAGTCTACAGTTATCAAAGAACAAAAGTATTCATTACATACTAATACATTATACATACATTCTATATTATTAATCATGACGAGAATAAATAAGAAAATGTAAGCAACCAAGTCACGCTCAAAGTTTGTTTTTTTTTGTTGCTTTTTTTTAAGAGAGCTCTCTCTCTCTCTCTCTCTCCCTCCCTCTCTCTGTCTCTCTCTCTCTGTGTATTTTGTATGAAAATAATGTGGTTTGTCAGCGTTCTACGATGCATAGGTCAGCAATGTATTTTATACAGAATGGAATATTTCATATGTGAACGATTTAAATAGATTAGCAAAGACAATAGTTCAACAAACACGGCATTTCCCGTAGAAAGCCGCTTACTAAATAATGTGCGTTAAAACTCTTTTGTTATGGGGTAAATACATGTTAGAATAGGAAACTAACGTTGGTTATTGTTTAATATATTACGAAAGACAAAAGTTCTTTTGAATCTTTTCCTTCACAAAAAGATTAGTTCAAAGAAGTTTTGCACTTTATTTTAAATGCTACTCTATTCATACTACAAAAAACAAAAAAGATATGTTTGTTTCTACAAAAAAACAAACAAAAAAAAAACAATGTTATTATATTACAAAATCACAGCTGCGATGGATCATTTAGTTTGACTAGACTTTGCAAAGAATGGTTGACACAATGTATACATTTTTTACAACTAAATTCAACATCTAAATCTTCTAGTCATAATATCACTCTGATAATATTTCAGTTCACAATCATTTGAATCACTCAGTCAAAGCAGATAAAAATATCACATAAGCTTTTCATTGCATTACTCTGTTTTTACATTGAAATACTATATATGCTATTAACTGGTACACTTACTTTAATCTGAATAATATATCTTGCATATCAATAAAAAAAAATCATTAAAAGCAAGATAATTTTTAAGTTGTTGTTTTTTTTTCAGCGTAACTTGATAGGCTACAATGAACAATGAAAAAAAAAAGCTGAAAAGAGGCCATATTTAATTGTAAAAGTGTCAATGAAAATAGCTAAAAGGAATTAAGTCTCAATGGATAAAGTCTGTACTCTGTCTCATTTGATTTTCTCGTTAAAGAGTCTCACTAGATTTTAGTTTTATCTTCTAGTGTCTGTTCCATTTCCCTCCCCTTTATAAGTTTTTTTTTGTGTGTGCTGGCCACAGTTCACCGTCGTAAACCGCTGGCAACAGAAACAGATGGCCTTAACATCATCAGCCCTATAGACCGCAAGGTCTGTAAGGGAACTTACTTTAACCACCTCTATGATACCTGGAATATAAATACTATTAGCGTGAACGAGCCTTCTCAGCATATTTACGGTCCTCAGGCAACGCCGCCTGCGCTGGCTCGGACATGTTCACCGGATGGAGGACAATCGCATCCCGAAAATCATACTCTACGGGCAACTTGCGTCTGGCTCAAGAAAAACTGGTCGCCCCCACCTCCGTTACTTGGATGTGATAAAACGGGATTTAAAATTAGTGAACATTGATACTGACCATTAGGAAAACAACCCTAGACCGCACTAGTTGGAGAGAGACTGTGACCAAGAAAGCTATGGACAGCGAGAAAACTTGGGCCTCAGCTCTGGAAGAAAAGCGTGCCATACGAAAAATGGCCAGCTTCTCTACCACCAAAGAGAAAGCCACCTTGACCTGCAATATATGTGGATGGGAGTGTCTCTCCAAAGTAGGGCTCCACAGCCACATGAAAAAGTGTTCGAGATGAACCATAGTCTCTCTACTACTGAAGGAGGACAATGAAAGTTGCCAGATAATTATTTCAACGACATGATACATCAAGTTTTAAATAATTGTTATTTTTACAATTTCATTTCTTCATTGTATTATTTCCCGTCATTATCGAAAAGCTTTGCAGATTTTTTGAAAAAAAAAAATATAATTATATAACATATTATTATCGCGCTTTTATAATTATATACTAATTAAAGGCTATAATATTCAGAGAAGTTTTACAAATTATAAATGAACTACATTACATTTAATTTTTAAAAAAGCATAAGACACTAAACCATTCGATTAAAAATAAAGTCGTACAGCACACAAACACGCTGAAGATAATACACGAAAAGATATACATATATAATATTGGGGTCTTGTAGAAATCTGTTCGTTTCCAATAATTAAAAAGCACACAATAAATATGTCACTATGTACATTGTATAGCAAGAGGGAACAATTCAATCTTCCTCCTTTATTTCCCCCGTAATACTGCAAGGAACTTTTAGGGCATTAATCGTTGTGTCATCATGTATTGAGAATCACACTATCAGTAAAAGACAGCTCAGCACACCCCGTAGAATTATTGATTAAAGTAAATTCTAATCACAAGCCACTATTCAAACATATCAGGTTTTGTGTTGTGGTCTGTTAGTTAGCTCTGGGCTTCTTTCTTATTAAATAACTTGCTTCACGATAATATTGATTTAATAAAATATTAAAATAACAGTGTTTTAAACATGTTTTTAAAAATAATAATAAAAACACCACACACAAGTCAAGTAACAAATTCATATTAGGCTTACACCCTGGCCAACGTCTCGATTTCGTTCAATAATATGTAACTCTGCTCAGTTAGATATATAGATCTAACACTGCAATTTTAATAGATCTAGTGCTCATTCATGCGTTCATTACTTTATAATAACATTGTACACATTACGGATGCAGTTACAAAGAAAATACATAATATAGGTCAGTGCGGATAACACTCTTTGTAATACTTATGTACAATCAAAATGAATGTCTAGAACTCAGCTTATCAAGACATCACTGTCATACTGTGGTTTTGTTGTAGTCTCTCTTGGAAATATAATAATCTCATTTAATAAATTAAATCATTTAATGTTACATTGTCTAATTGTTTTGGGCTCAATGCCTTTTGTTACATTTGTGGACTAGGGATGCCAAACTCAAACAGCTTTTCTATATCGAACTGGTTACCACTCGATCCTAAACCTAGGCTGTCTCCCCAGAGGGAGTCCGAGTGATCTGGCTCAGGTGTCTGTGACCTGGGTGTG